GGGGCCTGGGCCCCAGTCGGTGAAAGTTGTGGGTATATAAACTGGGGTGATCCCACAGTCCCCGGTGTGCTGAGCGAATGTGTACGTGTATTTATAGAAAAGCCTCCCGGCTGAGCCACGGCCTGGAGGCGGTAGAGTCTGTGGCGCGGTTACATCCAGCGTGATGGCTCCGCGTTCGTGCTGAAAGCACGACAGCCCCACAGGCAGTCACGGTGACCTGGTGAAGAGCTGTCCTGCTGGCTGAGCTGCGGTCAGGCCACGATGGGCGACTGTGTCCTGGCAAGCTCCCCCAGCCAGATGTCATCTTTCCAGGAGTCAGCATGAAGTCAGTGTAAACTGGCCAGAAATGCTGCTCTGCACCCGGGGCTGATCCAGATCAGGCTTGCACATGCGAGTGGTTCAGTAGTGAGCAGAGCTGGTGTTTGTGGCCATGGAAGACATGGTCAGCCAGAGTTAAGCATGTGGATTTCTCTGCTCCTGGGGATAATACCGTGTCCCACAAAGGCTGTCAAATCGTTGGCAACCACCTGGCTGCTGCCACCTATCTCAGAGCTCCCCCCGCTGTCAGGTGAAAGCTGACTGTAGTTGTCAGGCTCCTGACATTTGGCTTATGAGCCTCATCATTAATTGTTCCACCTCTCTGCTGCCTCCCCTCGCTCTGGGTGGCTGGTTGTGCCTTTGGGGTGCATTTATGTTCCCTGTTTCTGTTCCTGCCTGCTGTAGTCCTAGACCCTGTCCTCACAGCCTACTTCCTGAGCCACATTCCTGGTTATCCAGCGTCTCTCCTGCCTCTGTAGTCCTAGTTGCAGGATCCAGTCTTTTGTTTCTTTGTTTCCTGGTTGAAATCGGCTGCTTCTGTCCTTGTTTCAACTGTAATAGCATCTTGTTCCAGGCTATGGTTCGCATTACAGGCTCCCTGATTTCGAAGCCCTCAGGCCGACTTCTGACTCCACTCCTTTCGCCTTGCCCATTGGATTTGTGGATCTTTTTGTACCTCAGTTGGCACTGACTTCTGCTTTTTAATGTTATTCCAATGCTACTGTTGCTTTGTCTCTACCTGACAGATGCTTTCCAGTCTCAGCTGAGACGCCCTGAAGGGATTCATAAAAGTGTGCTGAGAAGAGAGATGCCTCAGGCTGCGGTCAGACATGGCTGCTGACCCTGGCTCCTTGCTGTACGCTGTGGTGCCCTCTCAAGAGAGAATGACACCCCGTCACATCTGCTAGTAGAACAGACCGTTGCTTCCTAACACTTTTCTGTCGCAGTGATCCATGTTAAAAATGTCTAGTCTTCAGTCTTATTGCTAACCTGGATCACTGTGACAGAACCAGAACCAGACTGCACACAAAATTACATTTTCACCAATGGCTAATGCACTTACTGGGCAGAGGGGAGCTCTGTCTTTTGCTTGAGAAGGAATGCAAACTTCACACCAGGGAAGAAAAATATTTCAGGCGTTTTGCTAGGAAGTATTTAGGGTATGTCGCCTGGACGCTCTTTCTGTTAGGACCATTCAAGTTTGCAAGGAATAATTAAATATTCATTTTGAGAGATGGGAGAATCAGCATTGCTCTTTAGTCTTCTGGTCTGAGCACTCACATGGAGGGGGAGGAACCAAGATTCCAGTCTTAGCTTCACTGAATACTTAATTTAATGTATTTAAATGTTAATTGGAGTCCTGGTGAATGCCCTGAGCATTAAGCTACAGAAGTATTGCTCATTCTTGTCTTTTTCCTTAGTCCAATTAATATTTAATAATTTCATGCAAATTAGAACCACCCTACAGGAAGGATGGAGATTCACCTTCCCTGCGGTATTCTCTGACTTGCTGGTTATTCATGTGAGGTGAGGTACTTGCAGGTTCAAACCTTCCCGTGGAGAATGTCATGGCTTTGAAACAAGGTCCCCCAAATTTAAGATGAGTGCTCTGATCATTGAGTTGGTAGCTGGGGGAAAGACGTCACATATTGCCCAGGTTGGTAGATGATCCCATCTGGATCAGGCCTGACAGGGGAGATGTGGACAGATGCGTGGTGAATCCTGCCAAGGCTTAAACACGAGCTAGGATTGACTTGGCTGTGTAGTACCGGGGCCCTCGTGTGTTGCTAGCATAGATGATAGCTGAGTCCAGAGAAATGAAAATGTGGACTTCAGCTCCTGAATTCCCTTTGTGACTGTAGTCATAAGCAAAACATCCTGTCAGGCTTACCTTTAAATGAAAATCTCTCATGTTTTGTTTGGCTTTTCTTTTTGTCGACACTACTAGAAAGCCCTGTGTGAATACTCAAACTGCTTACTACTCTTACCTCCCAGTAACATTGCAATGAGACGAGATGTCCAAGAGGGCCAGGCTCGGTGTTTATCTCGCCTAGGAAGGCACAAGGAGGCTCTGGATATTGCAGAAAAAATGGTAAATAATGCAATCTTTCTTTTAGGCTTTGAACATGGAAATATTGCCAGTAGTTCTTTTATATGGACCATTTTCTGGAAAAATAATCTTCAAGTATATAATCCTTCAGGATGTTCAGTGCTCAGAGTGTTTGGTAAACAGAGGGTAACTGTCACTGCAGATATAGTCACTCTTTAGAAATCGGAACACCCTGTACCACAATGAGCTCCCTGTGCAGGGAGGCTCATAGTCCTGGAAGGGACTAAATATCATGCTCTGCCAGGCAGAATTAATGTAATGTAATAGGAATTATAAGAAAGGGGATAAATGAGTGCTTAAATCTTTCCACTATAAAAGTGATGGTTCAAAACTCCCTTTTATTTCCATATACTTGCTGCCAAACTGCCACCAAAAAGAGTATCTAACCACAAATTGAGTTTTTCCCATAAAGGGGAAAGTCCAGAGGCTCTGAAGTCCGTTAGAATTTTACTGCTGCTGTTTGTTGTATAAAAAAGGTGTTTATACTACAAAGAAGGGCAGCTGTATAAAACTCTGAAGGCAAATAAACAAATGGCAGCATGTGGAGCCTTCTTGCCTTTCAGACTGGGACAAGGCAGCTAGAGGGAATGCTGTCAGCTTGCTCATGCATGATGTGTGTCACGTATCATTTAAAATTAAGAGCACAGTTTTGTACAATTTAAAAATTTCCTTTAGTGATATTTGTGTGTTATTATTCAGGGAGACATTTTCTTAGGCTCTGAAGGATGATTCTGTTCTACTGCTGGTTTTAATCTCTTATCTTTTGTTTCTAGAGAAACGGTGCTACTAACACAGATCACTTAACGACGGTTCTCAACCTGCAGTTTGCCATTTACCAGGGTCTGGAAAATGTAGAAAAAAAGATCACGTGTCTGCAGCAACTGATCTGCTTACATCCTTTCAACCCTTGGTACTGGAAGTTACTTGCTGAAGTTTATATGAGCCTTTTACAGAGTTTGTCTCCGTTAGTCATTCCGGAAACAATTCTAAATCAGTCTGAAGAGATTAGTGTAAGTGACAGTGGTTTCAAAACATCAACTGGAAGAGAGGTTCATTTGCAGCCTCACAGATCAGATGGCCAGAAGGAAGGCCCTTGGTCCAGCCTTGCTACAGAAACAAAGAGGGAGAATGCAGTGACTTGTAGGAGCAGCCGAGCTGTAAAAGAATTCCTCTGCACTTCGGAAGAACCGGAAAGGACGGATGAAGGGAAACGTGCAGCCTCCAAGTCCTGGGAGCAGAACATGTCGAAGAAAATCAGGATAAAGGCATGTGCCTCGTTTATTAGAGCAAGGTAACTAAACGTATTCTTAGAATAATGTTAACTTCTCCCGATCGAAAACGATTTAAAGCATATTATTCCCAGCCTTAACATTTTCAGTTTACATTTTCAATTTAAATGTTTGTTTCAGCGTTGGCAACACTACCTTAGAAGCACCCTGCTATTGCTTCATATCTAAAAAGCAAAATCCACTAGTGTGGTAGCTGTGAACAATCTAAATCTGAGTGGAAAGTTGCACTGTTGAGAAGTAAAGCATTTTTTAATGACCTTATATGAATCTTTTCAAGTAATTATATACAACAGCCTGTTAGAGCATGGCTGTTTCCTGGTTTGGTGTTAAAGATGCAGCAGCAGAAGTGCCCCAAAGGGAAGGCCAGCCAGTCTTCCTTCTGCAGGTGCCACCTGTCTTATTTGCTTGAAGCCTCATGCTCGAGCGAAAATGTATTTTATAATAATACCCCAATCTGCATAATGGATGAGGTTGAAAAATGAACTCTGTGACAGCTGATTGACAGGGCTGCATTAAAATGCTCTTTCCTTTTCTTCCCTCTCTTCCTAAAACTCTTGCATACAACAAAAATCCTCAAAACATAATCTTTCACAGAGATAATTAGGAACTGTTTTTGTTAAAGTAGTCTTGGATTTTTTTTCTCCTCTTGCCTCTCAGTAATGTATTAGTCACCGAACATATTTAAAGCCATTTTATCAACTTCCAAAAATGTTTACAGAGAACACTTTATGACTGCCCTGTTAGGGCAAGATTTAAGAAATGTAAAAAAAGATGTAGTAGCTTTTAACTGTACTCAGACTAAGAGACGGTGACTTTAATTGCTACTTGGGAGAAGTTCATAGATTTAGTACGGATATTGAATATTAAAGCTACATTCATATTAAAATAATTTGTGTTGCTTGTTTTGGTGTGTATGGTTCAGCATTAAGACAATTATAAACTCTGGGATTTCCTTGCTTGACTGCACAGTTTCACAAAGTGTAATTGTGGTTTGTATTTGCAGACACACTTGTCCAGGGTAAGCTTTTCCCCTGGCCAGGGCTTATGCATTAAATAGCTTGTCTAATATTTTCAGGTCTGTTGGATTTTAAGTGAGATGTGGATGTTACATAAACATATGTTCAGGGTAAATTGCACCTGGAAAAGGGATGTTAGTGTTGCTTCTTGTAGGAAATCAGATTCTGTGTTAAAGCATGAATAATTGACTCTTCTAGTTTTGTCAACAAAAAAAAAAATTGGAGAAATAGTTTTCTTTAATTTTCATTCTTTCTTACATTATGTTGATGCAAATTTTGAAACAAAAACGCTTTACAAGTTAAAAATACTTTCCATTTTTACTTTGAATTTTCCAGGCAAAACTTTACTGAATTTACAAATGGTTTGTTGGCTCAGTCTTGTAAATTTATAATGGTCAAATGAAAACTTTCATCTAAGATCTTAAGTCTTCTCTTCATAAAAATATACACCTCTATTATAACACATGCTTCATTTAACTTTGGTAAACGGTAAAAAAAATTGTTGTTCTTTATGCATAAAGCTTGAATTGAACATAGTTTCAGTAGCAATACTACTAAGTCCCAGTGGTCCCTTGGTTGAATATACTTAGATATTTCCTCTGCTGACATGTTTTACAGTCCTTGTGTGAGGAGGACTCTGGAAACTGCCACTGCTCTCTCGGGTCGAGCAGTTGGTAATGGGGTCCCTCCGTGACATGAAGCCACATTGTGAGCACAACATCTAACCTTCACTGAGTCATGGTGGTGACTTCTGGGGCACTGCCTTGAACATAAAACTGTGATGAAAGATTTTAGAAAATATCCAGGGTTGGCCTGTGTGGAGAGGATGTTTGACATCTGTCTAAAACCCCCAAATTTCTAGCTTTTCAGGTTACAGAGATAATCACTGCCATAGGCAAAAAAGCACTGCTACCTTGTTAGGCCTTAATAAGGATGTGGGAGATCTGATGTACTGCAGTTAATGCTAGCAGATCTGAGCTTCACCTTTGAATTTTGTGACGAATACATGGGGAGAAAAATGTTTGCGCAGAGCAACCAGAGATACTTGGCATGTTGTTTTTCAAAAGTACTTCTCAGTACTTCTGTCATAGCATGGATATACCATACCCATAGTAGATTGATATGGATGTATTAATTTCTTTGCAGTTAGCAAAAGTCAGGAAGAAGAGCTGGGTTTAAAGTATTATATTTTGTTTGGGTTTAGGTTTGCTGACTTACTCTTTTGCCAGCTGTGCCTTTTTTTTAACTGTCTTTGTCATTTCAGGCTTTTACTTCAGCTTACCCAGTCGCAACAATTGTCCTTTGTGCTAGAGAATAACATAAAAGGTCAAAAAGAAATTGATGACAAAGTGGCACAACTTGATTTCAATGAAAACTCCGTGCTGTTGATGACCAAGGTAAGGGAATGTTTCATTGTGTGCAAGTTCTCAGCTACACGTAGGCTGGCTGAGGTACTCGAGCCAGTTCAGGCACAAAGTCCTGTAAGTGTGACACTCCCCTGAGCTAATTAACTGTGCCAGGAAGCAAGGTAAATTAGCTGGGGCGGGTTGCCCTGGTAGCGTGTTATCTGGAACTGACAGTGGTACCTGTATAGTGCTGGCTTGTGTCATGCGGGTATATCTCTGTTCTGCTGAGATTCTCCTTTCAGGAATGTTCAGGGTTGTTAAGTTTCTCATTGGACTTGTATTTGCAGATGCATCATCGCTGTGAGTTTCCTGGGATGCAGATTTTATCTCAGGAATTTTAGATGCCACAAAATGAATCACAAGTATGAAATGGAAGTGGAGATTACTTTGATGGCCACAGCAGCATTAAACACTTTCAGAAAAAGTATTAAACATTTTCAGAAAAAGCCTGAAGGGGACATCCTTTTACACGATTTCTTTGTTCTGTTTGACATACTGGGTTCTAGTTTTAAAGAAATACAAAGGAGAAGAGTAACATTGCATTACTTTATTCATAGAGATTAAACATTTTTAGTGTTTAGCTATTTATAGAGTTTCTGACTTTTATCTTAAGGAACAAAAGGAAGCCAGCAAGATTCTAACTTTGCTGTCAGTATTACAGCTTTAAGTTAGTGAAAGCCAAGCCATTGCCGGGTTGACTGGCAGTCTTGTGGGATTTCATCCATGAGAGGGCAGTAGCATGCAGACAATCTCAGGTTTTGAAAAGGTTGGGAAAAGAAATTTCTCTCCTTGCTTCCCTTGCTCCGACACCCCCCAGGAAGAGATCAGGGTGTTGGTGCTGTTGCAGGGTGAGCATTGAATGTGGAGTTAGCGTTGAGATTTCCGCTGCTACTCAGAGAGTAAAAATCCTCCCCCCGTCCAAGCGTAGCCAGAAGCTGGGTGGGGTTGCACAGCTGAGAAGCTTGGGCTCTCATCCATCTTCATTGCAGAATGCAACAGGCAGACAACTTGATTGTGACTTGGAAACTTCTGGACGGCATGTGGTTCATGTGTCAAGGGCTTTTCTCGTAAAGATCTGTTATTAGTGTCATATTTGCTGTTTTCTCTGCAAGTTATTTTCTTGTTTCCTATCTTTCTTACTCTGTTTGCAGGTCATGGGGCAGGATCTTATACCAGAAAAACTAAAAGAGGAATTTCAGGGTGAGGTAAAATGCATAGGCCCTTCAGCGCTGTCATCCTTGGTAACTGCATCAGCCACAGAATTTGAAATCAAATGGTTCGGTAATCTCCAAGATGATTTATGTCACTTTGACAGACAATTCTATTCAGATATATGTCTCCCGCCTTTGGTAACTTAAAGGTTTTGTTGTATTTATTCTCATATCGCCAAATGATTATGGAATGATATATGCAATAAAGTTCATATTACATTTTTTAAGAATTCTTATTGTATATCTTTTAAGAACATATATAAATATCTGCATTTAAACTCTTAATATCTCATCATTTTCTGTGTTCACTGATTTGTTTGTATTTAAAATAATAAGGAATCCAGTATAAAATCGAGCTTTCCGTTCAGCTTTCAGAGGTAGCTTTCCATCATAAACCTCACTGTGTTGTGCTTGAAGCACCTATGATTTTGGGGCCTGCGATGCCAGTGGGATGGAAGGCTTCCTTTATGATGTCCAGTTTGAAAGTTTCTTGGTATCAAATCTATGTTGCTGCATGTAGAGCCATGGAATTAGCCATTTTCCTAATGTGTTTTTTTAATATTTCTTGATTAATTGACATTATAGTGATTTCCTGTTCAGGGCTGGATAGCTAGAAATCTTAAATATATTTATGCTGAGAAACTGTCAATAAGAATAATTCCGTATGTTTTAGAAAAAAAATCTAAATGGTAAATATTTTAACTTAGAACTGGAAGGAGATTTTCTTTCTTCAAAGCTAAGTGGTTTTTGCAGTCATAGAAGTAGCTATAGTCTTGACTTCAGTGTGCTTAGACAAGGGAGGAGAAAAACTGTCCATGTTGTTTATATGTGCCGAAGGGTGTTTAGTCAGATCATATCCTTTGTAAAACCCTGCAAGGAAGAAGATCTTTGCTGTGAAAACTGGCAGTGTTGTTTCTGCATCACACAGCTCCTTACGTTATGCTTTCAGTTGAAAATGACACGACTTTGCTTTACTTTCTGAAGCATCGACGCTATGTGCTTTGGGCTCCCACAGAAAAAGGCAGAGATTATCCTGTAGTTTCTTTTGCTTGAAATAAGGCAAACAAGGGGTGCTTTTCCCCCATCTTCTTTCAAACTGTGAGACTTAAATTCTTTGTAGCTTGTCATAGAAGTGTTCTTTAGTGGATATAGTTTAAAACCAGAAATCTCTTAGACATAATTTGCTGTGACTTTTCCTCATGTTTTCCTGTGTTTTCTTTCTGAAGTACTAAAGAGTGCTGAAACTTTAAATAACTCACAATTGAATGGTAATTCACCATATGTGAATGCACTTTGTATCTGCTACCTTTAGGTGAATTTTAAAGCTTTAAGATACTTTTAGGGAACTTGTCACTAACACTTGGTATGGTATAGCCCTCTGCTAAGTTGACTGTGAAACCTCTCCGGAAAAATGGAATATCGCCTTCAGACATGTCAAATTATCTTTGATAGTTTGGTGACTTAATGCGATTAAACCCCATCCTGGTCAGCTTGTTACGAAAGATGATGACTTGGCAAGTGTGCTTGGGTAAGCATTAATGCACTCATAAGGTATTACAGAATATTTGGTTTAGTCATGCGTGTGCTTTGCTAGGTGGAAATCTTTGTGTGCGTGTGTAGAGCACACTGGGTTGGCAGTGAAGCCTGCCTGAAGGGCTGGGGAAGCTTTTAAGACTAACTGGTGTCATAAGTTTTCAGTAGAGACTGTCCATAACTGCTGTAAATCAATTACGATGTTGGCATCAACAGAGGATGTCTTACAGCAAAGACATAGCAAACACAGAAAGCTTAATGCCAAATATGTCAGCAAAAAAAATGGAACATGGACTTCTCCCACTTTCTTCTTAAACTTAAGGTCACGAGTAGCCACATAAAAAGGCTATAATTTGTTTTGCCACAGCTCTCGAGTAGGTTCAGTAGTTAGGACACCGGAACAGCTTTTGTGGAACCAGGTCTGCATAGATATTTAATGGGATCTCGCCAAATGATTTGGCTCCACAGTTTAGAAAGTGAAAATAGCTTTGGAGCTGTTTTAGCAGCAAATTAAATACTTGCCAAATGTTGTCATTTTGTGACTGAGATGTCCAAAATACACAGCGGCTAGCCGAGGTGATTTGGAAACTTCTTGGTGTGCATGCAGATTGTTTGACTTGAGGTTGTCTTTTAGGCTGGCAGCACAACAATTAACTCCCCACTGGCTCCGGGAGTGGAAGGCAAGTGGCAGTTCTTAAGAACAGGCAGTATTTTCTCAAACATAACAATAAAGCAAAAATAATGTCTTTAACTACGGCAAAGAAAACAACATGAATGTTGTTCTGAATGTGTCGCATAGTTATTGTTCCAAATAACCAGTGTTTATTGCACTGGGGCTATGAAATACTTCTTTGTCCCACTTGTGCCTGGCTCTCTCTCATCTCAGCTACTTCAATTCCTCCTTTTTTGGCCTGCTCTTTGCTTTTTTGGCCTGCTCTTTGCTTTTTTGGCATGCCACTTCTAACTCCAGTTTTCTGTTTCTGCTCGTATCTCATGAGGGGCTTTGCATTTCCATCTTGCATTTGAATGCCTCATCATTGCTTCTACTTTCTGCATAATTCTACATCTGTCTGTAATAGATTTCTTCATGTTTTGGCTCTTAGGATATTATTACTGGTATTAGTACATGCACCAGTACTCCACACTGAGTTCAACAGCAAATTTTAGTATTGCAAATTGCAAGTGAGAGTCCATTAACAGTTACTGAGGTTTGATTTTATTATTTTAACACTTGCTTATGTTACAGATGCTTTGGGAAGGAGTCTCTGACCCTGGTTGTGATGCTTCTGAAGTGATTTCTGTGTACAAACAATCTAATTGTGTGTCTTGCTATTGAGTGAATACTGCTGGCTTTGAGGTGAGGGAACATGTTAGTGCTGTAACTAGCGACATTAACAGAGTTTTCTCCATCAGAGAATCATAGAATGGTTTGGGTTGGAAGGGACCTTCAAAGATCATCTAGTCCAACCCCGCTGCCATGGGCAGGGACATCTTGTACTAGGTCAGGTTGCTCAAAGTCGTGTCCAACCTGACCTTGAGCACTGCCAATGATGGGGCATCCACTGCTTTTCTGGGCAACCTGTTCCACCCTCATCATCAAAAATTTCTTCCTTATGTCCAATCTAAATCTGTCCTCCTTCAATTTAAAACCATTGCCCCTTGTCCTGTCACTGTGTGATGGGTTGACCTTGGCTGGCTGCCAGGTACACACCCAGCCACTCTATCACTCCCCCTCCTCAGCATGACAGGGAAAGAGAAAATAAGATGGAAAAAAAGAACTTGTGGTTCGAGATAAAGGTAATTTAATAAAGAAAAAGCAAAGGCTGCACGTGGAAGCAAAAGAAAACAAAAAAAAGGTTTCTTCTCTACTTTCCATCAGCAGGCAATGTCATTGTCAAAATGAGTATGTGAATAGTCTTAAGACTGTTTATAAGGAATCAAGAGTTGTAACACGGGGTCCTACTCGTGCTCCCAGCCAAGAGCCACCTTTATAGCTGGCAATAAAAGAGGGGTTTCAGGTAGTACCTACTTTTCCTGCTTTCTTTCTGGTACCTGGCACCTTTCTGGTACACAAACTAGAAGAAAAGAAAAATGCAAGTAAATCCATTTTGGTAATAATTTGGTGACCCAGGTGGGACTCCGCGGGTTCCCCACGTGTTGAGCGTGGCGATGGCATATGACACAGCCGGTACTGGGTGAGTTCACCCGATTGTCCTTGCAGGATCCGCATTCCCTGGGAAGGTACTAAAACCGGGGGCAGCACAAGTCATGGGGGGTTCGATCAGTAAGGTGAAGTGGGATTTGCCGCTGGTGGAAATTCTGGGAAACCGGAAGAAAATTGATGGTACTTCAGGACTCAGTAAAGCTTGAACTTTAGTTCTGTCGGGACAAGTGGTCAGCTGGAACTCGGGAGGGGACACCCTCCAAGCACTGGCCCCTGGGAGGTTCATTTGATAGGAGTAAGCTGACCTTCCTGCCTCGTATGTGATACGGTATAAGGCAGAATTGCCTCATATGGTAAATCCCTGCTGGCTACTCCCCATCACCTTCTCGTCTTTAACAGGACAAGTTGGAAGTTGTTTCCAGGATCTGTTGCTCCATCACCTCCCCAGGGCTGGAGGTGCAGCTGGCAGGCCTAGCGAGGGTCATGGACGGGGGCCGCACGGGAGTATGGTGTGCGATGGTCCAGGAGGGAGGAACACCTGGGTGCTCTTTATTTTCTAGGAAAAGCAACAGGGGCAGACCAGGACGCATACTTTTTCAGAAGAAAAGCAGCCTGTGGCAGAAGCAGTCAGTGAAATGCTCCCGAGGAGCACAAGCAGCAAGCACAGGAGATGTCCTCGAGCACGTGCTCCTCTGGGTGCTTTGTGTGTGAGCAGCAATCGCACACGTGCACTCGAGGCCTGCTCCATTAGCAGTCATTCGGCCAGGCATCAGGCTTCACACTCTGAAGTGCTTTAATGGGCAACACTCGCAGACGCCAGCAGAAGCATCTCTGAGCCAGAAGTCCTGCAGGGCCAGTTCGGGCTGGGGAAGGGACGCGGGGACGCTCTGGAAAGCCCTGGCCAAGCCCAGCCCTTTCATTCAGCTGACTTCCAGGGTGTGAGCGCAGGGGCAGCAGCGGGTTCAAGGTGCCCCGCAAACATCCTTCCCTGGTGCGTGACCCATGCCTGTGCAGACAGTCCCTTGGGCAATGCCACTCGCCGTTTTGCTTCTCTCCGCTCTCTGCTCCCTGTGGCAAGGACATGCACAGCCACCAGCCCCGACAGGAGGGTCCCCATCGCTGCAAGCAGCAGTGGTGCTCTGGCGTGGCAGAGTTGCCCTCCGGAAAGCCCCAGGGACCTTTGCTGGACTCTGCAGGGGCCCATGCGGGGCCAAATTACGCTCCAGAGGGCCCCAGGACCATAGCTGGGCTCTGCAGGGGCCTTTGCAGGCCCCTGATTACCCTCCAGAGTGCCCCAGGGCCTCATCTGGGCTTTGCTGGGGCCTGCTGGAGGCCCCTGCTGCCTCCCAGAGGTCCCCCCGTTCTACAGAAATCTGAAAGTCCAAAAAAAACCACTTTTAAGTACAAATTCACTTCTGTAGATATTCTGGAGGTTTGTATAGGCTACGTTTATTCATGCTTTTTAGCCCCCATCACCCACATCTAGATCCTCTTCATCTTCCTCCAAAATAGGCGAGAGACTGAAAATACAAGAACGAGGATCATTCCAGTTCCCGTTTTCCAGGTCATCATCTGAATCTTCTTTGGCAAAATTAGAGCGGATGAACCCTCTTGTGCTGTCCACCAGCTCTCCCACAGACCAACCGTCTCCACAAGGTATGTTTCTAGCCTGTTGGTATCTCTCACTCCTTCCTCCCATTTCTTTGCTGAAGAACAAGCTTCCTGATCAAACCCTTCCTCTTCTTCCTCCTCCCTTGCTCACTGATGATACGGACCTGTTGATCTCCTTGTCCACAGTTTCTTTTTCACTCCTGGGGCAATCGCTGCAGTTGTTGCTAGTTGGGTCCCTATCTCAACCATGGTGTCCTCAGATGCAGTTTGGGTCCCTGTGTCTACTGTCACGTCCTCAGCCGTAGTTTGCATCCTGGTCTCAGTCAGGGGTCTCGGAGGTGTTTTGGGTCCCTGTCTTAACCACAGTCCTCTGATAGTACTGAACTGTGGCTCAGAGGGCAGGGGCCAAGGACCAGGACAGCGCTAGAAGCTGCTGGTTTTCACTGGGATAGGCAAGGCAGCACTATGAGGGCTGCTAATGGGGAAAATTCACTCCATCCCTGCCAGACCCAATACAGCCCTACATGGTCCCTCCTGGCCCCCCTGCACACAAAGGGGAGGTGCGACGTGTTACAGAAGAAAAACCTGAAATGCAAAGATGTCTTCGAAGACATGTGAAATAGGACTTGACTTACAGTGACCTCACCTGTACAAGTGGGTTTGCTGGTAGAAGAAACCAGACCAAATGGCCTGAAAGCGGCAAAGTTGCAATAAAATTGTGTATGGCCTTTGTGGTGGGCTGACCTTGGCTGGCTGCCACAGCCCACCCTCCATTGTGTGCAGGGGGCCAGGACACACATGTAAACCATGCCACTGCCCAAAACACCATCTTGGGCAAATTTTGTGGCAACATGGTACCCCAGAAAGAATTGAATCAAGACAATGGGACTCATTTCCGAAATAACCTCATAAACTCCCAGGCCAAGAAACATGGCATTGAGTGGGTGTATGTCCTGGTTTCGGAAAGGTTAAACCATGACAGTGTATCACATCCCCTATGACCCACAAGCCTCTGAAAAGACTGAGAGAGATAATGGACTGCTAAAGACTACGTTGAGAGCATTGGGCAATGGGGCATGGAAGCACTGGAATATAAATTTAGCAGAAGCCACTTGGCTGGTCAACACCAGAGGATCTGCCATGTGTCTTGGTCCTGCCCCAATAAAACCCCTACATACTGTGGGAGGAAATAAGGTCCCCATAGTGCACATAGGGAAGTGGCTGGGGAAGGCGGAGTGGATTGCTCCTTGCTTGGGAAAAGGCAAACCCATCTGTGGGATTGCTTCGCTCAAGGACCCGAGTGTACTTGGTGGGTAATGCAGAAGGATGGGGAGACCTGGTGTGTGGGCCTCAAGGAGATTTAACCTTGGGGGAAAAATAAT